CAAAATAAACAAATAGACAAAGGCGTAGTTTGATGACGCCGTGACTGAGTGTGGAATCATGGGAGCTGTCGGCTGCATTCGAAAACTGAAAAATGCTGCCTTCGGAGGACGCATTTCAAGGTAGGAAGGCATTAAGGCACTTATTCAATTCATTGGAATTATACAATTCAATGTTAGCTTCAGTTCCTGTATCCTGAGATGCCTTCATCTGGTCGATTTTTGAAGGCAGCATAGATGTATCCTTCGCTGCCTTTGATATCCCACAATCCTGTGCGTTCCATTCTGTGACAGTTAAGCTAAAAAATTAAAGATGGCGTCTAAAAGGTGCGGTCGGTGGTCAGTTTGTGTGTAAATGTACATTTTTGATCAAGGTTTTCCACCTTTGATGTCATTTCTAGCGAGAAATTACTATTGCAGTAATTAAATATTCACTTAGTTATCACCAAAGCTCTCTATATTTTGCTGTAGATCATTAAACCGTTACGCTGCCTCAGAAGTCTGTCCGAAATCAGTTTTGTGAGGTGCCTTCGTGCGCAAACGCTACCTGCAAGTCATTGCCTGATAGGGCAGCGAGGCAACAAGTCAGCTGCCTAAGTTTTCGGATGCAGCCGTCGTCTTCATCCCCACAGCCGATGCAATCCGACGGGACACGGGCAGAAATCATGTTCATGGATGAGCTAATGATTTATTAACGTAGTAGAATGAAGCAGGGTGAGGCTGAAAGCAGGCGAAGCAAAACGAGGCTGCTGAACGAGCGTGACACACGGCTCGAAAGCAGCGGAGCTTTTATTATGCCACAGTTGACCGCTTCCGCTCCTTCCATTCGTGCTTATGTGGGGGGAGGATTTAAACATTCTTTGAAACATTTGGGATAATGTAAGTACACAAGTCAGCAAAATATATAACACTGTTCTAGTGGTTTTTGGATATTTTAGTTTCATCACATTTCTGCAATTGGGGATGATTGCTGTGCAGTATGGGTGTTTCCTTTTGCCTGAACATCCATTAATTCATCTTCAAGTGAGTGGCGGAGGAACCGAAAGTTGCAGCAAAGTCCTTGATTTTTTTTCCACAGGGAAAGTGAATGGCTCTCTAATGAAATGTCCAGCAAATTTAAGTTTCTCAAAATCTGCAAAACGCCAGATGAATTCTTCTTGCATTTGATTGACAGTTGCAACAAATCTTTCTCTCTGTTGTATGTCCAATACACCCTCACTCGCGTCATTCAGCAGTGGGTAATGATTAAATCCCCATCTTTGAGTTGTGCAGTGTACAGTCCTAGCTTTATTTTGAAACTCTCAACACAGCCCAACAGGTCATCGTGTTTTCAGTCACCTTGAAGTTGCAGATTCAGCTCGTTTAGGTGAACTGTGATGTCTGCAAGAAAAGCAAGATTTTTCCCCCACTCATTGTCTCTCAAGACAGGAAATCTATCTCCCTTGCCAATGTCATCAAGAAAGTGAACTATCTTGGGGGAGTACAGCCAGAAAGCGATTTAAGACTTTTCCCCAACTTAGCCATCTCACTTCACTGTGCAGAACGAGGTCTCCATAGGCACCGTCCAATTTCTCCAATAATGCAACAAAACGGCGATGCATTAGAGGGCTTGCTCGAATGAAGTTGACCACCTTGACCACAGTGTCCATGATCTTCATGAGGTATCCATCACCTAACTTACTGCATAGTGCTTGCTGGTGCACAATACAGTGAAATGCCAACAAGTGTAGCGATTTCAATGCCAATAAATCTTCCGTAGTCTCAAAAGTGTTTGAATTCACATCTCACCCAAATACAAAGCTGAGCAATGTCTCCGATGTCTGTTGATTCATCCGCAGCCAAAATGAGTGCTGAAGCAGTGGCTAGCATAGTTTTTAGTTGTTCTGTCAAGTTCTCAGAATTTCTGAAATTCGACGTGTAACTGTAATTACTGAGCTGTAAACTTCTTATCCTGCGGAGTATCTCACTCTTGTTGCTCAGATCATCAAAAAGACATTGTGATTCCAGAAAACAGTTTTTAATTAGTTCCCCATCACTGAATGATTTGCCGTGTTTGGCAAGGAGCCATGAAATTTTGAAAGTTGCTAATGTCACAGCCTGGGACACTTTTAAACTAGCTCGCATTGTATTCAGTTCAGCAATCGCATTTTTTCAAGACTAGTTATCTTGAGGGCTCTCTCCTGAGATCCAGACGGATGTTTCTTGTCAAATGCGGCATGGGTGGTATCGAAATGTCTTTTGACATTGTAGTAAAGTACTGGGCGTATGCAAAACCTACAGAGCAAACAGAAAGGCTATCCATCACGCTCATTAACAGCAAACTGATTCTTCCATTCTTCCAGCACTCTCCTACCTTCACTGCTGATGCTACGACTTTTCTTGTTTGTACGCGTTCTTTCGTTGGCATTTTCCACATTTTGTTTTTCTCCCTTAATAACAAATTTGTCCATTTTGATGCTTAATTTTACCTAACTAATGGCTGCTGATGACTATTTGAAGTGAGTTCTGCCAAAGCGTGTGCGCTTGTGTTTGCTAAATGCATAATAAAGAGTACATATTAGGCATGGGCCGATTACCGGTTTCAAGGTATACCGCGATTTGAAAATTTCACGGTTTCAAAACCGCTAATATTTTCTGTTATACCGTTCCTACGGTATGCGCTGTTTTTCATGTCTCCTCAAAGACGGAAAGTGTAGGAATCCCTCAGGTTGAGTGCAGTGTAGAGTAAGGAGCTTCCCCTGGAACTTACGCGATTGGCAATGGCCGTTTTTTGTCTTATTGCAAGCAACATGTCTCTGTTCTGGACTTGCACAGAGCCGTTGAGCTCGGTAAAGCCGTATTTGACAGCCACAGTCTAATAGATTACCCCTAGATTCAATATGAAACTCTTAGTAAAACAAAATAGTGGTCATAATCATGCTGAGGCTGTGTAGTTGTAAAAGTATTTAATATATGCCGACTCACGCATTTGATCCGCTCCGTGCGATCGCATCTCTGGACCGGAGCCAAAGTCCGGATCAGACTGTGTGCGCTGGCGTGGTTCGCGTGAAACAACATGAAACCAGACCTCAGTTGCACCAATCGAAAGCATATTTACACTGTCTGAATCGTTCCCTATCACCTATATTGTGCACTTCGAGCCATTCACTGTACAGGAAATACTACACTGTGCACAAGCAACCGATCTTAGCCGCAGCTTCAGCATCTATTTATAGTGCAGGGGGCGGGCGCTTCGGATTCTAGAGAGCATTTGATTGGTCAGAAGATTTGA